CTACAAAGATATTAAGAAAAAAAAATAACTAGAATGTATCAGGCATAAAATCTCAAGGCAATGGAACAGCGTTTCACCAGGGCAGATTCAACTTCATTACTTTTCTTCACTAATTTGCCCCAAAATCTACTATGAAAAGGAAACTAACATTTAAAAAAAAGACTACATGTGGGGGAGCTGCAAAACCTTCGTCGTCTTCATCTGGAACCGCCTCACCAATTAGATCAAATTCCAAAGAGCTTTTCCACTCCGGAGTTGGAGGGCAGACAACCATTTCAGGTTTATTCTCACGGTAAAAGTTATACAAGGCGTCAATGTAATCTGGTTTGTATATTCCCGGAGGGCGTGCATCAGCAACTAATTTGATTGCCTGAAAGGAAAGGAAGTAAAGGTAATCCAACGAAATATTGTTTGCTCCAATAGAAATAAATGAGGATAAAGTAAGACAAAGATAGCTGACCTGAGTGACAGATATTGGTTGGGGACGCATGAGATAGTGAATAATCATGTACCCAGTGCGTTATGACCATGTGTACAATGCACGAGAATATATTTCTTTGATTGCTTTTGCCGAGTGAGAAATTGTACAACCTATAGAAGTAAAAATATCACTCAAAATTTTCATAGATTAGGACAAGACAATCGTACCAATGATTTATCAATTTCATAAATCAAAGACCAATTTAGAAGGAGTATGTTGTTGACCTGAGGACAAAGGGTACAAAATAGAGATGCAAAACACAGAAAACTATCACATATTGGATCCCTATATCAGGTAACAGATTCTGCTAACTAAAAATACTCAGAATTTTCTTACCACTTCCTCCAAATCAATTATAAGAGGTATATAATTATAAAATTTTCTACTACGTTAAATTATTGAAAGATCTTTTAGATCTATATGCAGGACAAAGAGGGCATCTATAATTAATTAATGTATATTTTAGTTCAAACAAAAATATGCAGTAACACGAACATAATCATACATATCTTTCATGTCAATGAGATTGAATAAGATTACGAAAATTGTCGAAAATTGAATAAAATTCAGAAGATCGTCGAAAATTACGATTAT